AGCCTGATTACCGACTCTGATACACGCCGCCAGCCTCTGACCCATGCCTGCATACTCGCCCAGTGTTTGCCTGCCGCCAGCCCTTCGATTTGATACTACTGTGTTTGATGTGAGTTCGCACACGCATACCATCTGTGTGCATATTGTTATTAAACTCTGTTTAATAACTATACTGCAAATGCATCCCTCTGTGTCAGCCACTTCGTTACAAATACCTATTTCTCAAAAGTATTGCATATTTGTGTTTTTGATATAAACTCAAATAATGCTATAATTTGTATGTTAATTTATATTATAAACTCATATTATGCAATATAATGCAAAGCAGAGAATGTCCACCATTAAAATAGTTAGAAGTTATGTTTGTAAAAGAAAGAGTTGCTATTGGAGCATATCAGATCACATGTTTTGAGTTACGTAAAGTGCGAGACCATTGCATTATGGGTGAAACTGACATGGTGGCAGAGAGAAGCCAACATTACGGAGCCTGAGAGAGTTCATTAATCTGCATGGTCTAAGAGGGCGCACACGGTAATTTATATTAAATTCTGTTCAATTTTTATGTATATTGTTGCAATATGTGAGTTTACATGAATGATGTTGTGTGTAAAGACTGATGTTGCTAGATTCAGAGTTGTCGCACATGTTCATATGCATATCAGTGGACATTTAAGTGAGAGACTGTGAAAAAGACACTGAGAAATGCATATTTTTAATATTATATGTTCTATTTCTTGTAGTTTTCAAGGTGTTTACTACAAAGAGAGAGAGAAAGATAGAAACAAATAAACAGCAAAGACATCAGTATGAAGCGTGGCTATCATTTTATTTAGACCAGTGCAGCTATACTACATACACATTCCAGGAATGTGCCAAATACATTCCAGGAGATAAATTGTTTTGTGTACGCTTTTTCAGATCTCAAATTTCTCCTGCAAGTGACATTCACGCCTGCTATTCTTGCGTAAATCCACCAGAGGCCACTGTCAACTGACTGACTGATCGACTGGCCTACCCTCCTCCTTCCCTAAACCCAACCGACAGTGTTTTGGAAAGCAATCCAGAAAAAGAAAAGCCCCCTGATTTTTACAACATTTTCAAGATTTTACCACATTTTCCAACGCAATCTCACCGCAATTCGTAGCTTTTCAATTAATTGGCTAATTTGTATGAATTTGTACGATCTAATTTGTACATTTTAGTATGATTTGCTCATTACCCAATGATGGTTGGGGTTAGAGGTGGGGTTGGGTGACATGTATACTTTTTAAAATCATACATTTTCGTACAACTGAACTCGTACAAATTAGCCACTAAACTGACAAAACGTAAAATACTTGCGTTTCCTCGTGAGATCAGGCTGAATTTTCACCTTATTTACTTGTTTTTTTTTTACTTGTTTATTTTATCTTTTGGCTTTTGTTTTTGTGTGACCTGCTTTCTGGAATCATTCTTCGTCGGACCCCTATACCCTGTCGTCGCAGTCAACTCTGCTCTGCCTCTCAAGTCCGCCAACATATTCTGTGAACCACTGGACAAACTGGTACAGAAGTCAGTCAGCTGCTAACGTGAAAATAAATGGCGTCATACTGCCCTATAGTGTTTATTTTAAAGACGAAATGCAGCCATACATACTTCTGGCTACATAATTTGAGATCTCCAGAAACGTATATAGGGCTACGTTTTCAGAATGAGCCTTTTTTGGAATAAGCCGTTGAATCATTGGTTCACTCCATTCATTCAAACTGCAGATTCATTCAGCAATGAAACACTGCAGTATTTTGATTGGAGATGCACGCGATTTGTGCTGTGGTTTTATAGATAATAATCAGAGATGTATAGTAATGAAGTAGAATTACTTCACTACTGTTTTTAAGTACTAAAAGGCTGTATCTGTACTGGAGTATTGTTCTTTTCTTCTACTTTTACTTCAGTACATATTTTCGATGATTTTAATACTTTTACTCCAATAGAATTTGTATGTGCTCCATCGTTACTCGTTACTAGGGGTGTCAAAATTATTAATATTGGTTCAGTAATAGATCATAACCGAATATTACGTACTGAAGTCATTTATCTCCTATGCACGATGTCGCAGTAAAATAGGAGGCGAGGGCGAGTAAATAACGCTACTACAATGAAGGTGGCACAGCACACGGGCTGCCATTTCACTACTACGGAGAAATGCTGTAAAACTCCATCTTTACCTCTCTCTCACACACTTTGGACATTTGACCCGCTGCGCTGGCCTGTTTGTGAGGTAACTTTTTCTCTCCTCTTGGCTGTTAAAGCGATACTTGTGGATCCAGACACGAGCGTGCCTGTGGTGTGAGTTTTCTCCACTGTGTCTATTACAGATTACCTGTGATAACTGTGTATTATGCGCATACAGACTGTAACCGCAGCTGTTTTTCCCGCCATCGGCATACATCGCTTTAATTTCTAAAGCCGATCGCAGTCCTTTCTATTGAGCAGGTGAAGATAATAACCAATCATAGACACCTCGCCTGTCAGCGCTCAATAGCAAACAGGATAATTTTTTTACATGAGTTTATTTCCTATAAACTCATGCTGTCTTCTGTGCATGTGTTGGAGTTTTGTTTGATACATTCAGAAAGAGTGTTTTCTTTGGGCAGGTCAAATGAAGGGTACAGTTCATATATATTACTGCTGTATTAAAGAACAAAATTGTATTACAAATAATATATAAATATAAATAGATTTATGGATTTTAATTAAAAAAATTGTGCCGTGAAGAAAAAATCTATCCGACAATAGGTTTCAGTAGCGTTTTGAGTGGATTACAGAGTGTTTTTGTGACAAACAAGTTTGAAAGGTGTGTGTCAAAGCTGGTATAATCTGTCAGATCTGTGGTTCAAGCGCGAGAGAAAAACAGTATCGTAGTCATGTTTCTTTTCATTCTGCTTAATCACGTGCCCCAAAAAAGATATTTAAAATAAACAAAACAATATGAGTCTTTTGACTGCTTTCTTTCATAACTACATTACACAATACTTACACTTTTACTTTCAGTATTTGAGAAGTAAATTTTGAAATAAACTACTTGTGGTCACACTTTACAATAAGGTTCATTAGTTAATGTTAATTAGTGAATTTACTAAGATGAACAAACAATGAACAATACATTTACTACTGTATTTATTCATGTTAGTTAACGTTAGTTAATGAAAATACAGTAGTTCATTGTTAGTTCATTTTAACTCACGGTGCATTAACTAATGTTAACAAGCATGGACTTAAATGTTAATAATGCATTAGTAAATGTTCAATTAGGATTAATAAATGTACATGTGTTGTTCATGTTAGTAAGTAGTACTTAAGTACAAAAAATGTTGAATACTTTAGTACTTCCACTTAAGTACAGTGCTTAAAGAGAACTTCAACTTCTGCTCAAGTCACTTTTTGATAGAGCACTTGTCTGGGTCGCTAGTACTTTATAAAACTCTGGTAACAATTTTTTTGGCAAAATGAACAAAAATATGATAATTTGTAGGGCTGCACGATACTAGAAAAATATGCGATGTTGTTGAGTGTTGCGATTAAAAATATTTCTTATGATATAACTAACTTGCAAAACACTATTTTTTCAGCAATTAAAAAAAATATATTAATTTAATTTGTGCCTGCTCTTCTCGCTTAAATTCACCAGAGGTTGCTGTCATCTGACTGCCTGATTGACTGACCCAACCTCCTCCTACCCGAAACCCAACCGATAGTGTTTTAAAAACCAGCGATTGACCCACCTACCCCCTTTCCTAAACCTAACCGACAGTGTTTTTAAAAGCAATGCAGAAAAATAAAAACCCTCACCTGATTTTTACCACATTTTCAGATTTTACCACATATTCACCCTGTTATTTACCGGTTTATTTTATTTTTTTGTTTTTGTCTTACCTCCTTCTGGAACCATTCTTCACTGGATTCCAGTAAACTCCGCTTTGCATCTTAAGTCCACCAACATATATGGCAAGCCACTGGGCAAACTGGTAACAGCTGGAAAGCTGTCTATATGGAGGTTATTGGTCAGCTGGTAAGTTAGAAAAGGAATGGTGTCATACCACCCTGTAGCATTTATTTTAAAGACGAAATGCAGCCATAATGTGAGATCCAGTCTGGATTTTTCAGCTGAGAACATATAAAATAACATAACTTTTTAGACTGTTAGGATCATTTAATAATGACAGAACTATATTGATAATAATAATAATAATAATCTATTAAAACAGTTGGGTCAAAAATACCCCAACATATAACCAAACTTATAGCACCTTCCCAACTATGGGTTATTTTAATCCAATGCATTGGGTTATATAATATAATCCAATGCAATGGGTTATTTTGATGTTTTTTTTCCATTCTGGTATTACTATTTTTAGTATTACTATTAATTAAATAATTATGGCTGGCTAAATAAATAACATAGTTTTTAAAAACTATATAAAGAAAATGCTTTATTTCCATTAAATTTTAGTTCCTGAAACTTTTGCTAAATTAAATTAGGAATCACAAACAATGAAAAAAAAAACAGAACAAAGTACAGACAGTTATAAACGGTGCAAGCAGAAAATCCTGTGTTGATGGAGCAGAATATGGTGCTCTGTGTGCTGTAGAGACTGTCCAGCAGCTGCAGCAGTGTCCACACTGTACAATACATATTAACCACATCCAAACGCTTCTAAAAGATGGTCTTGGATGGAGAAACAGATATAAAAACACGACACGGAGAGGTAATTTGATTAAAAAAACAAAAACAAAAACAAAAAAAACTTTATTGAGTTATAGCTTAAATTAATTTTATAACGCAAAAAAACATTTCGCACGCATATTATTACAGTTTTGTGTCAGTTAAAGTTAAATCAGTTGACTGTTGAAATTGTTTTTATAGTGATAATAATACGCGTTTTGTGCGTAAAAGCAGAATCTGTGTATTATGGTTTGTGAACGCCTAATTCCTATCGTCAGTTTTATGCATTTTTGTATTTATTTGTTATTATATCATTCTGTTATTTTAATATACGGCGATGCTCGTGCTTGCTAAACCTCTGAAACATATACGGGGTCAGGCAAACCTCCCATTATACTCAGCCAGCGTGTAACGAATGTTTTCTCCTTGCTTTTTAGATGTAATCTGTGCCCTCGGGTAAGCGCTCCAGCGCCACAGCTATAATAACAGCGGTATAATTCACTCCGCTTGACATGTTGCAATATTTTGACACAGCGAGACGCGCGTCGGGGCAACGTGCTGTCGCCGCAGGTGCATTCTGGAAACGGGCATCCACGAAGCGAGTAAGCAGCCTCCACCCATCATTACAGTTCACAGACAACTGAGACAAGTATCTGCGGAGATAACCCGACGGCCCTCCCGTTATCAGTCTCAGGGTTCTCATACCTCCCACTCTTGCCTTTGTTAGCGGAGTATTTGCGTCCGCGCTTCGCTCCTCCTCCTCCGGTTTGCCATCTATACTCGCGATCCTCCGTGCGTCTGCAGGTTGTGCGCTCTGGAAACGCAACAGGTTACAAGCGAGTGAATGAATCAATGGGAGAAATGCGGGAACTTAATAACTAATTCAACCTGCGACAACGTTTCACTGATCGTATTTGACTGATTGCATTCGTGTGGAACTCAAAACTTCATCATGGTTTCGTTGCTGGATTTAAGCGCTCTCGTCCTGTCGCTGGTGTGGGGATACTGTGTCCTGGCAGACACCGTCTTTACAAACTTTACCCTGGACAACGAGGTGCACTCGAGCTTCATCCACCGGCGCTTGAAGAGCCAGGAGCGCCGGGAGATGCAGCGGGAGATCCTGTCAATCCTCGGGTTACCGCACCGGCCGCGGCCGCACCTCCACGGCAAGCACAACGCCGCGCCGATGTTCATGCTGGATCTGTACAATGCCATGTCCACCGAGGGAGACGAAGAGGGCTTCTCGTACCCCTACAAGCCCGTTTTCACCACTCAGGGACCGCCGATTGCGACTCTTCAGGACAACAACTTTCTGAACGACGCGGACATGGTCATGAGTTTTGTTAATCTAGGTAAGATGGTCACGCGCGCGCTGACAGCTCTGAGATGTCAGATATCACATTTGAACCCTCTTTGGCATGCCACAGAAAACTGCAGCTATCAGTGATCGCTGTTGAATTTATTGATTACAAATGTAAACATTATTGTTTACTGCACAAATGGACCACATTTTTTTGTCATAATGCGTACTACAATAATTGATTATTTATTTAATCGATAGAAATACTAAAAATAGATTTTTTGATACTAAAAATACAACCTTGATCTAAAGTCCCTATATGGTCTAATATTGACAGAATTTTGAAATTACTCATAACATCCAAAGATGTAGGTGACTTCTTTTCTTTTCTTTCCCCCCAAATAGAACATTAAATAATACTTTGAGCTGAAACCGTGGTCCTTGTTGATTCATTAAAATGAAAGTCAACAGCTACCAGCTCTTTGAGAATGAAATAAATAGACAAACATGCAGGCAAAACAAAATTAATACACATGGTTCCTGACAACACGCATAGTACAAGCAATTCTAGATATGGGGCCCCATTGAAACTCAAAACAGTCTCTTTCTCTATAGATATACTTCCTTTGTAGATTCATTTATTATTAATATTATTATTTTTGCAAATAAACTGCATGTTAAAAATATATTTAAAATAGAACCTCTATCTTAATGTAAAATGAAATGCACCCATCGCCACTGAACATATTGCAGCAGTTACCAAAGATCTCACAGCAAAAACACACAGCAATGTCTATCATAATCTTTTCACCATTATTTGAATAACAGTTGTTTGTGAATGTGTGGCCGTCACTGTTTACTTTGAAATTTTCTTTTATTTGAACAGACCTTTCTTAACAAGAACGTTCCACTATTCATGGGAGCCAGATTAGAAAAGATGTATTGATTTTGAGAACTTAATGATTATACAGATTTTACAGCATATGATAGAAAATTGATAAAAGAGCTATTTGATTAATATTGGCTTCTGGCATTGGTCGGGGCCCCCTATATCCCTGGGGCCCTAAGCGGCTGCTTACCTTGCTTGTTGGTTAAGTCCACCCCTGTTCATTTATTACTATTAATCCCCAGTTTCAGCCCTGTGTTTTTTGCATTATTGACACTATTTGTTTATAAAGTTTTTTTTTATGTTTTAACATTAAAGATATACACAAGTACCATTTTAACAATGTGTATACCATGCATCCTCCAGGGTTTCTGCAGGTTTCACCAGGTAAAATTTAAGACTTTTTAAGACATTTTTAAGACTATTATAAATGAAAGACTCATAAAGGGCTTAAGGCTAAGGACTTTTTTAAAAAGCCCAGATAGAAAAGATTTTTATTTGACCTATAATAAAAATATATAATTTAATACATTTAATAATACAATAAAAATAATTATTAAATATCTTAAATGTTGTCTAAGCAAGTTCTACTTGTATCCATGCACTTTTTTCAACTTAACATTTCAGTAAATTCAAGACTTTTTAAGGCCTAAAATTTAGATTTTGGGATTTAAAACATTTTAAGACTTTTTGAGACCCTGCAGAAACCCTGATCCTCGCTGTTGTGTTCTAAACAATCAGCATCCCTAAAGTGTGTGTTTGCACCTCTTATCCATGTACAGTTAAAGTCAGAATTATTAGCCACCCTGATTATTTTTTTCCCAATTTCTGTTTAACGGTGAGACTTTTTTCAACACATTTCTTAACATAATAGTTATAAATAAATAATATTTGACTAGATATTTTTCAAGACACTTATATAAAGCTTAAAGTGACATTTAAAAGCTTAACTAGGTTAATTAGGTTAACTAGGCAGGTTAGGGTAATTAGGCAAGTTATTGTAGAGCTATGGTTTGTTCTGCAGACTATCAAAATATATAACTTAAAGGGGCTAATCATTTTGACCTTAAAATGTTTTTAAAAAAAATATAAAATTGCTTTTATTCTAGCCGAAACAAAACAAATAAGACTTTCTCCAGAAGAAAAAGTATTATCAGACATACTGTGAAAATTTCCTTGCTCTGTTAAACATAATTTAGAAAGTATTTAAAAAAATAAATAAATAATCAAAGGGGCTAATAATTATGACTTCAACAGCACATCATTATATATAGGACATATAGCTGGTGGTTCACAATGTTAAAACATATTTGTTAATTAACATTATTTGTTAATGGAGTTTTTCCATTTATTTAGGGGGCTGTTGAACACCAACCCAGCCACAACAGCCCCCTAAATAAATGGATATAATATATATATATATATATATATATATATATATATATATATATATATATAGGTTAATATTAAGAGGAAAATATAAATATATTTATTTTTTTTTAAGTCAAACACTTTGGACATCGCTTTTGGACAAAATTTTAAGACCGTAAAAACATGATTAAGACTTTTTATTTTATTATTTACTATATATATATATATATATATATATATATATATATATATATATGTATGTATGTATGTATGTATGTATGTATGTATGTATGTATGTATGTATGTATGTATGTATGTATGTATGTATGTATGTATGTATGTATGTATGTATGTATGTATGTATGTATGTATGTATGTATGTATGTATGTATGTATGTATGTATGTATGTATGTATGTATGTATGTATGTATGTATGTATGTATGTATGTATGTATGTATGTATGTATGTATGTATGTATGTATGTATGTATGTATGTATGTATGTATGTATGTATGTATGTATGTATGTATGTAAAGAAAGAGAGAGAAATAATCTGTAATATAATTACTACAGTAAAATAATCCAAGGTTTTTCTACCAGAATATAGAACACCAACCCAGCCAATAGATCACTTTAAACTATTATATTATATAAAAATTGCTAATAAAAGTCACTTGTTTTGATTTTCTTCAAGGTTTAACATTTTTGGAAGAAAGATCAAGCTCCCATGATGCAATTCAAAAACACAAATAGTAAAAAAAAAGTAAACATTAAAAACATGAATCACAAAACACAGATAAACTAATTTATGTATGCGTTTTTTTACAGTGAGGCTTTGTAAGTATGAAGGTGTCAGCGAGAAATGTTCTTTATTCTTCAGCTAAAGAAAGATGGCACAAGCCTTTGGATGGCCTTAGGGTGCATATAATAACAGAATATTTAATTGTTGGCTCAACTAATGTCCATATTGTGATTTTATTATTTTTTTTATCGAGGCGCTCTGGAATATTTTATTTCAATTGGTCAAAGAATCAGTCGAAACTATTTGTTTATAAAACAGTCTTAGCTTCTGATTGGTCAGCTGTGTTATTTTGCTAGATATAGTGGAACAGTTTTGACGCAAAACACCTGTTCACCAATCACCGTGTTTTCTTATTTCAGGAACTATAACTTGTAGCAGATGGAGCCCCCTTCATACATTTTCTTAATAAAATATAACACAATTTTAAATCTGGACATTGTTATTGGGAACAGTATTTGGGTTACATTTTTTATACATATTTAGGGTCAAATTTGACAGACAGTTGCCCTATTTAGTGTTTGTTTAGATGTTCTTAATAACAGCAAATCTGATACTGTGCTCATTTTGGAAGACTTTTAAATATGAAACATGATGAACAGCATGCAATAGTTCAAATGAAAGCACATTTTAAGTCAAAACGTATTAAATCCCTTGCTCAGATCGATCCCGTGTCTCATCATGTTTTGGCATTGACAGGAAAGACCTGCTATACAGAAATCAGATAATAACAGGCCTGAGTGAATAATAACAGGCCAAAAGAATGGGGATTTTTCCCCCCCGAGAGTCTTAGATATTTTATTTGTTCCTGGGCCAAATAGCGCGCATACTTCTCTCCTCCATTGTTTGTTTGATTTTATTAGGCCACTTATCAGTCCAGAGTCTTAACCTTGGCGTGATTTCCAAGCCCCTAATGCTGGTGAACACAAACCTATATTTGCATTGTGTGTTTTGGGCTGTGATAATAAAGCGCTGTCGCATTCCCAAGCGTCTGCTGTCTCAGCGCCAGCTGTGTCCTTCGCTAATGTTCAGGTGTTCAGAGCTGGCTGTCTGGAGCTCAACGCTCTCTTTATCTCCAGTTTTTTTTTTCTTCTGCAGTAATGATATCAGCTGACAGAGACTCAAGTGTTTGGCTAAGTGCAAAGTACGTCTCATGACTAGTTCGTTCAACTGGAATCCTATAGTCTTGCATTTAAGATGACCCTTACAAAAATATACCATAGTAAGAATTGTTTCTGCCAGTAATGTCCTTTGAAAAACATTACTGCATTAAATGTGCAGTTGAAGTCAGAATTATTAGCCCCCCTTTATTTAAAAAAAAATGTTTTTTAAAATATTTCCCAAATTTTTAACAGAGAAATGACATTTTCACAGTTTGTCTGATATCATTTTTTTCTTCTGGAGGAAGTATTTTGGTTTTATTTAGGCTAGAGTAAACGCAGTTGTTTTTTTAAATCCATTTTAAGGTCAAAATTATTAGCCCCTTTAAGCTATATATTTTGTCAGATTGTTATACAATACTCTTGCCTAATTACCCTAACCTGCCTAGTTTACCTAATTAACCAAGTTAAGCCTTTATAGAGGTGTCTTGAAAAATTTCTAGTCCAATATTTACTGTCATCATGGCAAATATAAAATAAGTCAGTTATTAGTAATGAGTTATTAAAACAATTATGTTCAGAAATGTGATGAAAAATCTTCTCTCCGTTCAACTTATATATATATATATATATATATATATATATATATATATATATATAAACAGTTGAAGTCAGAATTATTAGCCCCCCTGAATTATTAGACTGCTTGTTTATTTTTTCCCCAATTTCTGTTTACCGGAGAGAATTTTTTTTCAGGCTTAACTAGGTTAATTAGGTTAATTAGGCAGGTTAGGGTAATTAAGAAAGCTATTGTATAACAGTGGTTTGTTCTGTAGATTATAGAGAAAAAAATATAGCTTAAAGGGGCTAATATTTCTGTCCCTAAAATGGTGT